CTTAAATTATTAACTGTCAAGATGAGGCAGAGATTTCACTGTGATTTTCAGTGATCTGAAGGTCAAACTTTGAGAGACCAAAATTGTATAAAGACTGATAGATATATAATTACATATGTACAACTGAATATTGGACAAATGCTAGGGCAAATGTGGGCATTGAATAAAGCAATAAAGTACCGCTGTTTCCGCTACCACATAAAATGTGGCTGTATTTGTGAGGAAGTAAGCCGAAATTAGTGCTGTAGAAGTTATGACTTTCCAATATATTATTAAAAATATTGCTTAAATGTGATCAATAACAAAGAATTGTGTAAAATATCCTTAATAATTTGTCATCTATGTTTTCAAATTAGTTTTGTCTTTATGTACCTTTGTACTTTATGGTAATCACTGTGCAGATACACTGATGACAAGGAAACAGCAAGTTGTACTATTTACAGCACAGGTGTGTATGTGATGGTCTCAAGTCCGTCAAGACAAAGCGGTTTGCTTATCATGCATCACATTTTAATTAAAGCCCTAATGCATTTACATACAGTATATCAGTTGGTATCAATCCAACTGCTAGTCACTTCAAATGTTAGCTTCCAAGTTGAGATAAGGTCTCTGGATGCGGCATCGCTGTTAGTCTCCTGTACCAGAGGATGTGGTCTTTTATTGGCTGACGTTTTTACACACTCCAGAGCACAGGCAAAACTGTTAATGTGGGTTTGTAGTTTGCCTTCATTAAAGAAAGGCATATAAGAAAAGACAAGCCAAAAATATTTCAAGGTCTGACGTCCCATATTTGGTGGTTTCCTCTCCACTACAATGCTCCCCACTGTCTTGTTAGTGTTCTGCCTCTTCAATATAATAAAATGGCATGTAGTGTTGGGTCAATACAGAGTCCTGTGAGAGAACGTCAATAATAAACTGTCTCAGTAGACAACTTGGATTGAAAAAGGAACACATCATAAACTCGATCAAGCAAAGACTTGCTTGAAGCACCACGCCGATTACTTGAGAGCAATAAAACACAGCAAGCAAAGCAAACTTAGTACGATGTACATAAAAGAACTGGGGGAGATACAGATGGGGATCCATTAATTACCACACAGGCGGTTGAATTTTTGCACACATGGCAAATTAAGTCCTTTTTCTTCTACAGCACCTACAAAGCAAGCTATAAAGGTATGTCACTACACAACTTTAGTAGAAATAAAGATCAGGTAAAAGGATGAATTGGTAACAAACAACTACAACTCACTATAAAGAATAAATTGGAATACTTCTATGGCTTAACGTGTGAGTATCTAGACAGGTAACACAGTACATATGCCCAAACCCTGCTAATCCCCAGCAGCTCTGTAAAAGACTACATTTAAAAAAGTCTAAGTACCAAAGTTGCATGTCATAGTTGAGACATCAAGTATTCTTTACAAGACTGAAGTCTTCCAATGTTATGGTAATTTTTCAATGCTCCCTTGGAAACGCTTGACAAGCCCGACATTAATGCTCTTAACCAATCCTTGCCATGCAGCCAGTTTCTAAAAGAGTCAGATTATAAGCTCAGAGCAAGACATGTTTAGAAATGATTTTTAACCTGTTGACCATTTCCATATGGCAACTTACTTCAATAGAATCTAGCTAGACACACAAAAAGAAAGCTCTAAAAGGTTCAGTTTAGGTGAAAGATAGCTTATCCTACCAAGTTCTGTGCCAGAACCTGAGAGAAGTTTTCCCAACCTGTCATCTAAATACAGAAAAAAGTTGATTTACCATGAAAGGATACATGTTGTATTTGGAAATGATAAAAGACACAGTAGAACTACAGTGATTGATTTTGCTATGTTGAACAATACTTAAAAAAATTTGAAACAATATGTGCTTTAAAGTTACATAAAAGATCAAGGCTAAAGACATTTAAACTGAACATGTAGAACGCACTTGTGCCTTTTATATACTAACATGTTTGAACTAATGGCATGACATCCAGACAGTGCTACAATGTCTGGTGTGAACAGCAAAATGAAAAGACTGCTCAGGTCAACAACAATCTTACTTGTGGTCCTGCATAGATTGCTTATAACAAATTCTGTTGTGTGTGTCTGTGTGTCGTTGCACATTCAGCAACATGATGCAACATCAGAAGAGCAGAACATGAATGGGGAGAGGAGATGATTGCTGCTGAGTTCTGCAAAGTGTCATCTCACTTTCTCTCTGTGGAGTTTGCAGAAGTCAAGACTGTGAACCGAGATAGCAAAACAGGCACATTTCTACGGTCTTTTTAAGTGTCAGCAGTCTGCTCAAATATGCTATGGTGGGCTACAGAACACCTCAGTAAGCAGGAGCAGAATTACAGCAAACTATAGTCTAGAGCAGGGACATATAGTGAACAGGGCAAATCTTTGTGAGCATGGAGCAACAGTGAGCATGGAGTTAATGCAGGTGGGCAGAACAAGTGATTTAAAATAAATAAATTTCCGCTTTGTAACTTAGATTAAAATTGCCATTAAATGTGTATAATGCAAAGGGAATGAACTAATAAACAAAACCTAGGAATTTCATTTTCTGAAAACACACAGAAGACAAACCCTCATCTTTAACAATGCTCTTGATTAAGACTTTTAACCCCCAAATGCTCCTGGCTGGCTGATAGATAACATTGTGCTTGTACAACTCAGCTCCCAGGTATGATTCAGTGTAATTGTGGGCAGCCTAGTACTAAAAAAAACCCTAAACTTCACTTCAGTAAACCTAGCCTGCGTGAACGAAGGTTAAAGAAAGTAATAGCTACAGTAACTGTGAGCAGTGAGATCCCAGCGGACACTGTGTCATAGTTGGACTCCTAAACTGTACTCTGGATTATGAATGAGAGGATGTGTGGAAGCATTGCCATGTGAGGCTCCGTGCAGACAGAGGCTCACGGTGAATATTAATTTTGACTTTGGAAACCTTGCACCTCTTCTTCTGCCTTTATATCAGGACACTGAAGATAAGGGACAAGTAATGGTGCACATGTAAGATGTGTCATGATGATGTGTCATTTATGTGTAAATGGATAAGGAAAGAAGTAAATGGTAAATGACCTGTATTTATATAGCACTTTACTAGTCCCTAAGGACCCCAAAGCGCTTTACATGTCCAGTCATCCACCCATTCACACACACATTCACACACTGGTGATGGCGAGGCTGCCGGACACTGGCGCCACCATGCCCTCTGACCACCACCAGAGTAGAGCAAAACACTTCAGACCAATCAGATCACACCTCCACATTCAAGTTAGAGTAGAATCAACACAAGTAATACTCAACTTTGGTTTACTTTTTTAAAAATCTCTGTTTGACATAGTGTTTCTGCTGGCTTACTATTTATAAGGAATATAAACTGTTTACAGTGTTATATTTCTCTTATGTTTCTCTTTTCTCTCTACATTATTTTTATATAGAAAGAATTAATTTAGTTAATTAATTAATCAACTAAAATTGCACAAGTCACAAAATCCTGTGTTTTGTCACTAAACCTGCCTCATTTGTCTGTCTACATGTATGTAAATGGTAAATGGTAAATGGCCTGTATTTATATAGCGTCTTACTAGTCCCTAAGGACCCCAAAGCGCTTTACATATCCAGTCATCCACCCATTCACACACACATTCACACACTGGTGATAGCAAGCTACATTGTAGCCACAGCCACCCTGGGGCGCACTGACAGAGTATGTACTTTTATAATTGACAGACCCTAAAAGAAATAATGACATCACAGTAGACGTGACAGAAGATGTGAATAAAGAAGTGAATATTTACATTTATGATGTCTTTGCATGACAGAATAATCATAAGGCATATAGTGCTTTAATAAGATTTGTGCTTTTTGGGGAATATGGAAGAAAAAGAATTGGGAATTAAATAAACCTGCACTACAAGTGTGTGTTGACAGATCTTAAGACGCAATCTGACACAATAATTACAATTTAATGATATAACACTGACAATTAAGAACTTTCCAGTGGGACATCCCCTAACTAAAATGTCTGGACACTCCAGTCCGGAGGTTAGCAACCTCCAACCACAGGTTATAATTTGGATTAACCGTAATCCTGCTCTTTTTCTCCCATTGTTTGGTAGGAGGAGCTAAAATAGCTTGTTTGATGTTGAAGGTTGCTGACGCCTACCCCAGTAAAACCAAAAAATGTATATTATTATAGATAGATTCTATGTTTTATTTGGGAATAGAATGGTGTGTATGTGTGAGTTTGGTGATGGAGTTTTTATTATGGATGAATTATGATTTTTTTAATTAATTATTATGTCTTTTTTTATGTTTTATGGACAACAGATGGAAATTAGCCCTTGGCTATAATCTGGTATGTTTACATTCATGTAATTTTTTTACATTTATGTTCATTAACATGCACTGTCCTAAATAAATAAATTAACTTAGAGCATAGAGCTGTCAAAAACTCTAAATTCATAGTTGTAGATTAACAATTGAGACAACGACTTTTTCAACATACTTCCACAAAAGCCTTCCTGTCAGGCAGGGGGCTTGTTTAATGTTAAGCATTCTCCAAACCTTTTCACCACTACAGGTGAGAAGAGCAATCTAGAAACTTTTTGTCTTCACTGACAGAAAAACCCCTTCCTGTTAGTGTCTTTCTGACATGAACGGGAAAAAGACATCCAAGATGGGGCTCTATCACCAACACTACTTGATGTGGTGCACTTCATAATGAGCTCAAACTCTTTCACATTTTTCACTATGACAGCTGTAGCTCAGATTGCCACCAGGTGTCCCCTCACACACTATTAATACCATATCCGCCAAATGACCGAGGATAAGGTCAGTGAATGTGGTACACAGCCCACCAGTTCAGTGAATTTATCCAATATATGTAGTAACAGGAACGGCACAAATGTTTTACACACTTCAGGCAATTAGGCAATCATGCTACACCACAATGATATATACATGAAAATACATGCTGAGATACGTAATGTTGTTAAATCCTACCTTGACCTCAATGAAGTCTGGCTGGCCCAATGCTATGAGCTCTGAGTAAGCCTGCATCTCCTCCACATTCCAGGATTTGACCAGCGTCAGTCTGTACACCGTCCTCTGTTTCTGTGGATGAATAAACAGATTTTTGGGAGTGATGTAAGAAGTCATAAGATGTGGGAATAGCTATGATATCCAATAAAGAGATGCCATATGTATCAATCGTTTAGTTTACATTTCATCAGTAAGAACTTATAAACTTAAGTTCTTAGTGCTACTCAAAAGATTCTGAAGTGACAATATATCTGCAAGACACTTACATATAGATTACAGAACACTGAAGGAAAAACTTCATTTTTAATTTGGTTTCTAAACCACAGTTACCTTTGTGACTTGTGTATTATATAGAATATTCGTTCAAATTAGAAAGGACAAGCATACATTATTTCCTCTGGCACACATTGGTATACAAAGCTGATGAGTCATTTATAACTTTTGAACTTAACCACTTCGTTTTTGTTTTTTTTTTTCAAATCACTTCCAGTGACAGTATGTCATCACCAACATCTGTTCACTGGAGGCAACACAGCTGCTCACAGATGTCAGCTGCCGTATTTCCTCCTAAATCAGTTAGCAAATGGTTGCTAACCCTCTGTTACAAAAGAGCTGCATGTTATATTATTTACTGTGTAACACTTTTTCAAATTCAATACTTTGCACTACAGACACAACACACAAAAATCTCCACAATACACTGGGACTCCAGCAGCACTGCAAGCCAGTGAATAGTGGAGGGAATTGTGGACTGCATGTGGACTTTTAATGAATAAAAAGCTGCCAGCACCTTCAGTTGTTCGGCTTCAGTAAGCATAAGCTATGTGAGCAGAGGAGATAGAAATATAAAAAGAAAACAACCGTGAGGCACACTACACAAATGAAATGATGTTTCGGGTAAACATCTTAAAATTTTAGAACTTTTTTTTTCCCTTTCAAGGATGAAGGAAGAGAATGACACAGTTCTAGCTGCCACAAAAGACCATGTAGCTCTAGAATTGAGAACCCTAGGCTTTGTACATTCAATAAGCAAGAATGTGGAGAGTGTAGCCCTAAACTGAGCTGTTTGTTATGAAAATATTAACATGAACAAAGTAAGTTAAATTATTTAAAAATATTAGAATGAAAAGTACAGAAATTTGTGTTTGGCTGACAATTGATTGTTGTAACAATACTTCTTGGTAATATATGCCTGAAAAGCTTGTTTATTTCCCCTTAAATGGTGGCAAATTTGTAAGGAAAATCCATTTGCAGGTTGAGCAGCATTTGTTTATATTGTCATTTGTGTCATGGTTCTGGGTCTTTGATACAGGTTTATGAGTTTGCTTAGTCTTTTGTTCACTTCTTGCAGGTTAATGAGATGCTAATGTTCAGTTTGGAGAGCCTCCGAGTTATGTAATGTTTCTAGTTCTTAGTTCTTTTTTTAAAATTTCGTTCCCTTTCGTGTCCAGTTTGTCTTTGTCTCTCCTTGCGGTCTCCTCCAATGTGTCCCTAGTGTGTAGCCCATTATGTCGATCTATTAATGTCAAGTTCGATGTCATTCTCTTTCTCTCTGTCCCTTGCTCTCGCTCTGTTTAGTCAGTCGTGTCTCAGCGCTGTTCCCCTATCTCGTTAGTTAGATTATTGTTTAGCTGTGTTCCCCAGGTGTTTCCTCTCCGCCCCGATTCCCTCATGTGTATATATCGTCTGTGTCTCTTTGTTTTCTTTGTTCAGCGCCTCCAGTGTTTGTTTCCATGAGTGACTGCCAGTTACTTAGTAGGATTTATTTCCAGAAATAAAGCAGTTCAGTTCAGTCAAGCCTGAGAGTCCTGCATTTGGGTCCCAAACTGCCTGCCACACTCGGGTATATGTATTCATATAAGGCTTCAGTGAAGGGTAAGGATCTGGCCACATTATTATGGCCCTGGACAGAGTTGTTATGACTGCTCACTGCAATTGTAAAACAGCGGGTCACAAGTCCACATGTATGGAGGACCCATTTTACAGCTTACAGCACTTTAGGAAAAGCATCTGCTGTAAAGATGTTGGGGCCTGAAACCACAGGACACCTTATAAAGTCCATGCCTCTGTGGATTAGACCTATCTCAGCAGTCCAAAGGGTACCTACACAATACTGGGCAGGCTTAAATGTTACAATTATAAACAGCTTTGAACCGAAATACGGGATAAGAATACCTGATCTGTATCTCATGAGTCGGCCATTTTTCCCAGGTAAGTAAAACAGGAAATATAGAATCACAGTTCAGTGGTGTAGATACAGTAGAAACTGAATTGTTGTCAATATGACAGAGAGGAAGAGAAGCAAGGAAAGCCAAGAGATTGTAAGAACAGATGATATGACAAATGGTTGGTACAAAGACTCAAGCAAATAACATTGAGAAAAGAAAGCGCACTCTTTCCCTCATTTCCTCTCCATCTTCCTCTTGCACTCGAAGGTTATCTCTAACACTAGGTCCTTTCAGCCCAATAGGGAAGGGGATAATTGGCCAGTGGAAGCAGGGAGGTGAGGTATTTCAAGCTGTCTCTATTCCAAATCCAACACGAAGGCACAACTCTATCAATCCCAAGTGCACTGGCAGGGAGGCCAAGTGGGGGAGAGGAGGAGAGCTGTCAAACAGAGAGCATAAAGGATAAGCGCTCAAGAGGATGGAGAGAGAGCCCACCGTGAAATGAAGACTTACGAACAGGGAGGTGAATGGGATGGGAGGGGGATTGGCAACAGAAAGGTTATTTCTGGACACTGCACACAGACACGCTGTAGTATTACAGTCAGATGTGCATATGCAAACACAGAAGTACAGGTACAACATCCATATTGAACTGAATCACATGACCTCTAATGCTAAATAAACATCTGTGTTCATGTACTTTGTCCTGAACCATCAACCTTCCAATTAGTAGATGACCCGCTCTACCTCCTGAGCTCCAGCCAACCCTTTGGACACACACACTACAATTCAAACTATTAAAAACAAACAATATGCAACATTCTCATGCCCCCCAGAATGGCACGGCATACATAATTGCAAGGTCTGCAGATTTGACTTTTGCTGACATTTATGCAAAACAGATTGTGCGCATTAGATGTCATCGCTAGTATCGCTAATATGCAAATGAAAATGAAAATGCTTAGCCAAGAAAAACTGATATCAGATATTTCTGACAACTTCAGAAATAATTGTATTGATTGATGCCTCATCCGACCATCAGACAATGGAGCAATATTTACAATAATGAGATTGCAGGCAGAAATCAGTAAATATGCCACAGGGTAAAATTGTGTGTGCACGTGTGTGTACATCTCATATGTGCAGTTACAGCACGTTCATATTTTCCTGCTGTGGTCAGGTTAAACTGGTGATATAGATCCAAATAGAGTGTGATGATCACTTGTAGTTTGCTTCAAGCCAAGCACTGAAAAACACCTCAAGCTGGGCAGAATTAATGAATAAGTCCCAATATTAAAGGATTAAACATGAGGACACAGGCTCATCACAGATACAGCTGAGAAAGTATTTTTCAAATTTGTATGTTATGTTGCTGCTCCATAATAAATACGTTTTGATTTTTTTTGTAAATGTATTTATAATTCTAACCTGAAATATGTATATAATATTTTATATCAAAGCAAAAAACAAAAGTTTCACAGAAACTGCCTGCAATGCTAAGACACAGCTCCGTGTTGGGAATAAAAAAAAAATAGTGGCAGAGAATAAACCATGGTAAGAGAGCTGATGACCACTAAGCTTCAGAGATCCAATTTGGAAATGAAAAAGCTCCAGGAAAACAATCATAACCACACCTGTACAGTACATTGATCTGACTTTCATGGTAGAGTGGGCAGACAGAAACCTGTATACAATATACAGTATAAGGGGCTATAATGGGCAAATACTGGCAAATATAAGCATGTTATGGTATCAATGAGATGTCGTAGGGCATCTCATTGAAAAAATAAGAAGTGTGTTGCAAAGCTCACTCCACGCCCTTTCATATGATATATTACTCAATGTGGTTTCTTGAATTTGAAGGTCAAGTTTGACCTTGGATACTAACAATGGAGGGGTCATGGTCAAATGCTTAACCAGCCTAAGTACTCAAGACCTAGTGTAGTTTTAAGACTATCCATAAAAACTGTGGGTAATATATTTGGTGTGACCTTGACCATGATGCCATTGTCACCAAAATTAGATCAGCTCGAGCTACTATTGGGATCAGAATCAGAATCAGAATCAGAAACTTTATTGTCATTGTCACGAGAACAACGAAATGAAGAATGGTCATACCATCACACAAAATTTGGAAATGATATCATGAAAACTGCATGAAAACAAACAGACAAACAAATTGAACCGATTATATACTCCCTTCCTTTTGGGGGGAGAAGGAGTGATTGCTCATGTCTTCTGTACAGTAATTTAATTCTAAGTTAATATACTATACAAGTTTAAAAAAAACAAACAACATAAATAATTCAGTGTTAGCTGAAGGAGGGTTGACATTACCAAAATGCTGCAACATAAAATGTGAAGAAAAAAAAAGTATCTACATACTTATTGAACAGGTTTTATTTGCAATAGAGACACTGCAGACTTTATCCTTCTCAAGGTCATTTGGTGGTTAATAGACCCATTTATTTATTTGGGGGGGGGGAAGCAGCCAGGTAGCAAGGTGGAGGTTGTGATAATGGATTTTCCCTCTTCTTGGAATGACAAAAACTTCTAAAAGCCTATTGAAAGCACTTTAAACCTGCTGAAATGAATCTATGAGCACAGATCACAAAGACAAGTCGATAAGGTCACTGTCACCACAATAAGAATGAAAACATAGGTCTCTGTTTCTCTTAAAGTTGCAAAAAGAACAGGCAGAATAGCAAGGCGACATTTCACACTTGAATAGCTGCTCCCTGTCATTTGTTGGGATCTCAGTGTCAATATATGGAAATGGGTAAACAGAGAAGACCCCTCCTCCTGAGGTTTCTACAAAGGTCGATCAAGTTAAGCAGTATTAGTCAAAGACTGCTGCTGTAAGCTGTTATGACCTGGGAAAAAAAACATATCAGCAACTATTTTATAGGCACTAAATTAATCATATTTACAGTAACATTCAGGTTAGTGAAATTCTGTAGGCTTTAACAGCAGCATAACATCCACACATTAAAACTTTAATTGTGACTGACACAGTATAAAACTGATAATTATAACATCTGCGTTGCAGGTTTAAGAATGACTTCTTTCGTTCTTTTCAATTAAAATATGGTATTAAAATACTACATTGCCACTGCTAATTTTTGCTATATTTTTTATGTAACCCAGGACAGTTATGTGGTTTGGCTCTGGGCCAAGATTTTTAGGACAGGAATAACAATGTATGAATGTGTGAAAAACATTTTTACTTTTAATTTAGCGTCCCAATGGAAAGCAAGCACATTCTTTTTAGGGCTCAATACCATGCTATCGTAAAAGTCTGCAGATAGTTTAATAATGCTAGTTTTTATCCATTTGAATTTTACCGAGGAGTCAGATTCTTTATCAAACTGAACCCCACAGCCCAGCCGATCACTTGTCTAAGATCCTGGATGAAAGCTTACTTTTTCTCCCAGGGCCTTGAGGCTATCCAGGAAGCGCGGCCAGAAATCCTTGAAAAGTGGCCGGTCGATCTTCTTCAGACTGTCTTGGGTGCTGGCATCCACACTGACATACAACTGAGTAACTGGCACCAAACTCCTAAAAAGAATTTGGTTGAGAAAAGACAAGAATTATGTAGCTGCTGCAAAATTTAAGACGCATTTAAAACAAAAATTACATTCTCCTAAGAAAACACAGTTCTCTGATGCAGGCACTTATATCCTATTCAGACAACGTGATTAATTGCTAACTTGATTCAGTGACACAAGAACATCAAGTCAAATACTCATTGTTGTTGAAGCAAAGGTTTTCTTTCTTTTTCTATAGATAATCAATAAACAAGGAGAATACTGAGAAAGAAACTGTAAAAATAAAGAGTACCTATTATAAATATCAAGTAAGAAAAAAAAAAAATTATTTGGGTGAAACTGAACTTTGGTCATATAAGTAATCAGAAAAGAGTAATAGAGCAGAAAGTACACATGAAGAACATTTATAATACTGGAGAAAGAACCAAAAAACAAATAAAGCAAAAAACAAAAACACATTTCCCCTTGTTAAGAGCCGTGGGATAGATTCTCCAACCCAAAGTGCAACAGCTCATCTCCTATAAGATAGCTCTGGCAGACAGGATAAATGGCTGATGCCTGGTGTCCTTGCCTTTAACTTGCTCGATGACTATGCGATAAGCCTGTGACAGGCCAGTTAGCCACAATATTGGATATGTCAGTGTGTGTCGTGAAAGTAAGTGTAAGTGGTTCTTGATAGAGAGGTCAATATCGTGTTCATTTCAAATGGCTCACGCAGCATTCATCCATTACAGTCTAGACTTATAGAAAGTGGCAGCAGTATTCTGTGTACTAAATGGGAACACATACAATATTTTTATTTTTTAAACAAGCAGCAGCATCTTCACTAAGAGTCTGTGTGGCTACAAAACCACTGAAAAATTAAAAGGCAATGATAAATTTAGTTTGTGCAGAAGTGGTAACTTTCCTCTTCGGAGTGAAGAATGACATAAAAATACAATAAAAATTTCTGTCTGCTGATCTAATCAAGAATTTAACAGATTTATTCAACACTCATAGAATGGGCAATCGTGGCTCAAGAGTTGGCAGTTCGTCTTGTAATTGAAAGGTTGCTGGCTCGAGCCCCGGCTCCGACAGTCTCGGTTGTTGTGTCCTTGGGCAAGACACTTTAGCCGTTGCCTACTGGTGGTGGTCAGAGGGCCCGATGGCGCCAGTGTCCGGCAGCCTCGCCTCTGTCAGTGCGCTACAATGTATCTTGCCATCACCAGTGTGTGAATGACTGAATGTAGTGTAAAGTGCTTTGGGGTCCATAGGGACTAAGTAAAGCGCTATACAAACAGGGCATTTACCAGTTACCAACACTCAATTGGAAAACTTATTCTTGAATAAAACATGTCTGCAAACAAAGTAACATTTGTGTTAGGTAACATTGTTAATAATACAACAGATGTGCACTTCAGCATGCTTTTTTGTAGCATGACAATATTGACCTGACAAAACTTTTGGTACTTCGTCTTACACTTCACATTACACTGAGTGTGACTCACAAAAACTTTTCATGTTGATGCTTACAGTCCTTCCTGAATCTAAGGCACATTTCACTTACTACACTTAGTATCTAACTGCGTTTGTGGTGAAGCTGTAGTGAAAGAAACATTAATAAAAACAATCGAGACCTTGATTCTTATCGTGGTTAGGAATTTTTTAGTAGGGGAAAAAATGGGTTTGGAATCTACAGTATGTCTTACGGATTAACTACAGAGACCTCACCTTCATAAGGAAAGTCAGAAAATAATATATGTTTACACACTCAGGCAAAGGTACCAACAATCAGCCATTATGGTTTAAATGTTTTTTTTTATATAATTATAGAAAAGCGTTCAAATTATCCCAGTACATGCAAACATTTAAGGTTTTTAAAAATCCATCAATTTAATGAAGGTTAATTGAAATTATGTGCTGCTCAAAGCACTGAAAAATGGATTATCTTCCCCCCCCCCCGCCGACTGACTCTTTAATCTTCTTGTTAGGGTTAGGTAGGTTATTAAAGTATGAAAACAGATCAAACTTATTTTAAGATTACTTTAATAGTAAGAACAAAAAGATCATGTAACACACAAAGAAGATATTTTTTCATTTTGCTTGTACCTGATTTCCTGGGGGAACTGCGCATTGGTTACCAAGAAACTGGAGATCTGATGGTGGTGGAGGAGGCGAATGAAGTTGTTGATTTCAGGATACATGATTGGTTCACCAACCAAGGACAGGGCGCAGTGCTTGACTGCTAGGCCCTCCTCATACCTGTCAGGCTTTACTCCAGGGACACCTAGCAGGAGAGACGTCAATGTCTGAGTAGATCATAGTTGTCAGACGCAAAAAACAACTGTGTGAAGCAATAGACTGAGGTGAGGTTTTGAACTGAAGGCTGTTTTAGTGATTACCCATTGTAACAGAGCGGCCCTTAGCGGCTGGAAACACAGTGAGATGGACGAAGGTAAGTGTAGTGGAACAAAAAGTATTTATTTGCTATACAGCTCTCCTTACAACAATTAACTCGTCGAGCTTCTTCACAGCACAATCAACCCCTCTAATGACAACTGGCAGCCTTAAATATGTTCAGCTGTCACGGACTAAACCATTATTCCACTCTCAGGTAAATTATTAAATCCCAACCTTCCACCACAGCACACAATATATCAATTAGAATAAATAAATACATAAATACATTTCACATTTTCATATTAATAAATAATTCACACTTTAATTTTACAGCAAACCCAATATTATAAAAACCCAGAAACCCAAGCACAAAAAGATTCACCACACTCTCTTAACCCATGGTCTCTCCCGGAACCTTTAAATGGTGTCTGGACCCCTGGGGAAACATTTGCCCAAACACCTTGAAGAGGACACAGGCAAGAAAGGTGAGTAATCATTATCTTACAAACACTTATTTGCACCACTTTTATTCCTAGATTTCTCTCACACACACACACACACACACATTTGCATTAGTGTTCCTTACTGGTAAACTTTAATTACAATCTCAATCACCATTCTTCTCTCCTCACAGACAACCACCATATTCCTTGATGAGGAGCAGCTGTGCAGGATCTGAAACAAGGCTACCAACTGATTTTAAAATTCCCAATAAATAGTCAATAAATAATTAAACTTCTTGTGTGCAAATGTTTTACTGTGCAAATCCAGGCTTAAAGTGCAATGCTAAATAAAGTGCTTGATAAGGTGCTTTTAATAAAGTGAAAGGTGTGCTTAAAGTGCTATACAGATAATATAATATAAATAAATGTAGTAAGGGAGTCCTCTTCCTTACACCCATAACCAAAGAGTCACAAGAAATAGATGTGAAGATTAACAAGAGAGATCTAGGGCTTGACACATCTTCATTTCAACTCTTGATCCTAGGCTCTTAAACAGTTAATCCATTTCCTTCAAAGTGTTGCATAACAGAAGATCCATAGAATAAACTGCAAAAAATAACCACAGTAATGGTTTTAAACATTCACCCAATAGACAGTTGCTCATTTGGTGTTTTGAGAGCATGGTGGAGAGCATTTTATAATAGATGGATCTAAAAACCTCCCATTCATTTTTCAGCTGTGTTGAGATCTCGAAGGACACAAACCATGCTAAAAATCTATCTATCCATCCACCTATTCATCTAAAATTGAAATAAGAATGTTGATGAATGAAATCAAAAACACTGAAAAGAGCAGGAGAGATAATGTGAAGTATGTAGGTATATGAATGATTTAATCAGGCCAAGTTTGCTTTTGGGATTCCAGCCTGGAAATGGTATAAAGTATTAAAAGCAGTATGACACTGCAGGAATTTGTAATAAAGGGAATAAACAAACATGAAAATGATATCAGAGAATATTCAAAGGGTTTAATGTGATATTTCTCAAGCCAGAACAGAATACATTTTTAGACTAAATTCAGGAAATCTTACAGAAGATCTTGATATGAATCATGAATATATATATACACACACCGGTATATATATATTTTTAATAACTTGGTAGCTAGTAATGCAGAGAGCAAAAAAGAATCAGTATTTGTTGCTTTTAAACACTAATGTGTGTCTACACACACTTTTTTTTTCAAGATCTTTGAAAGACAGAAGACTCTTCAGCAGATTTAGGAACTCTTAGTTGCTTCTGTCTCTTCATGTAGCCTCAGATTGACTTGATGATGCTGACATCAGGTCTAGGGGGGTCACCATCTGTTCTAGGACCTCTGGTTATTCTTGTTGCTGAGAATAGTTTTTATGAGTCTGGCTCTATGTCTGGAGTCAATGTTATGACACTGCACAGTATCATATGCGAAATTCCATTAAATTCTCACATAATTAGAGAATTATGTGGATCACTCAGATTATAAAAAGTATATTACATAGATAGATAGATCCATATATCTATATATATATATATCTCTATATATAAATAAATAAAAAGTGGCATTAGCATTACAATTTAATTTGGTTATCCTTGCAGGCGTCTTTTCTGAGTTCAATTTGTATAAGAGTTGAGTATACTGAAGACTTTGTCATGATACTGTCCACTCATATCAGTGCATCTGCAACTTTACATTATGAAAAGGGTACAGGTTAGTTCAGTATGCATGAATGAAGAAAGACATTTCATGTACTGAAAGTGCCATGCTGTTGTAACAGGGAATGACATTACAAGATATTTAATTAATGTGCTGACTTGTCTGCCAAAGTAAACTTCACCAAGCTTCTGTTGCACAGTGACATCAATAATTGTGTGAATTGTAACAAACTGCCTAGAGTGTAGAATTAAGTGGGACAGTTAGATAAATACTGAATACAGGATACGTATCACTAATAGTTTGGGGTTCATTATGCTTGGTAATGAAAATGATTGAGATTAGATACTCGTTTGCAACAGCATCTATATGAAAGTGCCCTCTTTGACTCCTGCAGTTGACACACAGCTTCACACAGCACTTGCAGATAGACAGTCACATAACCACTCCCCTCACTACTGGCTGAAGCAGTTGACATGAATTTTGAGAGGTCATCAAAGCTCCTACTTTAGAAACACTGAAGAATTAAACAGTTGTCACAAATGTTAACTTGCCTGGAGCATACGTAAATGTTAGACGCTTAATTATCGTCAATTACCCAATAGCCACTGACCTAACCTCAGGGGGGTCATAAGCTAGTAGACTATGCAACTATGCATCCCATAACTGGAATGGTTGCATCAGGAAGTGTATCTGGTATAAAACCTTTGACAAATCAAAGGTACTTTCAGAACAGCCTTTGTCAAACAGCCACATAAGCTTCCTGTTAAGTCATCATTAAGGTAACAACTAGCAGCTATGCTCATCCATAACGTTATAATTAACAGTGTTAATTTAACAGCACAGAACAAATATTCGTGTCATGCATAGGTTGAAGCTGAGAAGCCTACCAGGAAGGAACTAGACAGAAATTGTTGCAGCCTACCTTTCTATTTGATCAGCAATAAAGGTTTGGTGCAACGCAACCAGCAACAGCACTACCTCAGACAAGCTAAAATGTTGGTGTCTGTTTGGGGTTTTTTTTTTTTGGCACTATGTAAGGTAATCTTAAAATATCCCATTTACACACCTTATAGGTTTTTTGTTTTTTCAAATGGTATTGAGTATTTTCCTGGGTACTGATATCAAGCTTGAGATTCTAGTATCATGGCAATCCTAATGCATGAAGAACACAGATTTATTCCTAGATGCAGTCATCAAGACAACATTACAAAGAATACAAACAAACTCAACAAGCAGATCCCAGGGTAATAAGCTAACGTTTATGCTTTTAAACTACGAGTAATAGCTTTCATTATAAATTCATTATAAATTGTGCCTGACATTAAACTGCTACTTGAGACCTTTTATTCAGTAGCCCATCATAGAGTCAGAGCAGACACCAAGCTGCTTAATCACACTGAAGGTTTTGTGAGCCACTGTCTGGGGACTTCATTGTGCTAGAGAGAGTAAAATGTATCACTGTCAATTGTAAAAGAAGTTGAAGGCTGCATAATGTGGTCTTACAGTGCAACTGGAAAGATGATTATGGATGATGATGACAATAGAAGCTTGTGCCTTGCTTTAGTATGCCTCTAATTAGAATTGCAAAGTTGAAAATATACGTTTTCTATCATTTTACTGTAATGTCTTTTGTGACATATTGGGGGGGTTAACTCTAAGAGAAATATGAAGGTGGCATTCAGAACAACCATTGGTATGCCATTGCTCTTTTGCAACCACATCAAAAAAAATTTATTAGATTTTCTATGATGATGTGCGTTATATATATCCTTAAACTCAGCTCTGAGAATCATATTAACTATAAAATAGCCCCTTTGAAGAAGATACGTCTCAGAAGTTTTTTGCATTTATATCATTTCACGAGCACAATGTCTGCAGTGTTTTATAATGGGATCAGCAGCAGCTTTGAGGTTAGAGAGGCAGCTCTCTGACCGTAAAGTTGCAGGATCAGGCCAGGCCTCAAGAATAGTTGGCTGGACCGAGGTCCTACATGCCGGCCTAGCAATCATGTGAATATTTTATTTATTAGCCATATAATATCATATTACATAATGCAGGTAAGTGTATGGTGTCAGTACTGACTTGTACATGAGCACAATAGAAAATAAGATGAAGAGTTTAACTGGAAAGATGCTGGTTTGGGCTTGATGGGAATGGTCTCTGCAAGTGTGTTTATGCTAACTAGAGTCACAACAGGCTGTACGGACAGAGTAACATCCAGTGTTGAGCAGAATGCAGTTTGGAATGGAATAATGTAAGACTGTATTTCTGTACCACAGCTGACACTCGAGAGCAAGAGTCTGAAAAACATTTGAAAACACTTTTGTCTTTAACAATATGGTAATGAATTTATCCGCATTTCTTTGAGCTTGTCACAAAACAAAACATATGCAAACACATTCTTGACTATTAATTATTCACAATTGTTTTATCTAGAAAAATATAAAAACATTCATACATTTAGCTTCTCAAATTGTTATTTTATATCACTGTAAATCAAATGGCCCACACATACATGAAAAACTTAAGACATCTTTTTGCTAGGCCTTTCCACTATATTTTGAATAATAAATAACTGTTTAACACAGACAATATAAAATATTCTTACATTTATGTGTAAGAACATTGCAGTATAAGCATTGTTTTATTCCTACAACTCATTAAGGAGTAACTTAGTCTGAACTCTAACCTAATTTTGCTGATTACCTTTAAATCCACACGAGGAACAAAATATTTCTGAATTAGTTTGCCTTACGTCTGATAAATTTGTCACCACTATGTTTTGACAACATTTCTGAAAACCTCAAAGAAAATCTGCTTGGGGCATACACACAGGATCAGTAAATTCTGTTTGGACTGAGCTTTGAGTGGCCAGCCAGCCGTTCTCAGCCAAAGCTGGTAGCAGCCAGAGAAAAAGTCCCAAATGCCAGCAATGTTAGTACAAGCAGTAGAAGCATAGTCCAGAAAACGGGAGTACAAATAGGTTTAAATCTTTGATTTCCAATTACTAACTTAGATACCTCAAATGTTGATAAGTTTTAAGAAAATAAAGAGTGGAGTTGTTACAAACAGGACTTTGAGGAGGTGGAAATCAAAGATTGCATGCACTGTGTGTCTGTGGATCTGCGATTGAAAAGTGATTTATGAGCGAGGAAAGCAACAATGTGATGAAACAGCTCATCAGCCCCACAGATCATCAGCACTTGCATGTGAACTTTACTTCATTAAGTTTAAAAGAATTCATAAGTTCCAAGCTGAAGACCTTAAGGAGAAAAAGTGCAAAACGGCTTATTCTTGCACACTTTTGTGACTATGTTCATTTTAACAAAGAGAGAGACGACCTATGATGAACACTTTCAAGCATAAGCATAAGTAAACAGACAAATAGCCAGACAGACATTTAGAAAAAACATGCATGTTGTTGTTCATGTGTCACCTGCTCAAAGCCTAACCTCTGAATTGTCGAATCATGTTCTGGTGCTTTTCCAGGGCATCCTCCAAGATTTTCTCTGCAGGATCCATTTTCCAGCGCCATTCAGTGCCGACAGGGTTGGTATGATGTCTGTTAGTGGAGCACAAACATGAATAAATAGGAACTAACAGCAGTCAAGATGTAACTGCTTCAGCAAGCACCAACCAAATGTAGCAATACAGCAAACTAAATATTAATCAAAGAGCAACCACTGTAGCCTTAGAGATGGTATTACCGGTACCTTCTTTGGAGACATCCTTCTGGAGCATAAAAGGGAAAATGAACACTGCTTGTGGCTACAAATGGAATAAATGGCCTTAACAAACTGTAAATATGGGCTCCAAACCAGCTTCAGTACAAACAAAGGACATTACACCTCATCGGTGGTATTACTCCATGGTAATTCTGATTTAGAAAGTCCAAGACTATTAGACCGTTTGTTCAACACAAACATCCCTTAAAAAGTTAAAGACATATTTCACTAGAATAAAAGGAGCATTTAACGAGGTGCCAAATGCTAAGACTCAAGTTATTTACTCACAGATTGAAAGTGAATTATGTGGGCGTGTGTATTATCACCCTATAAAAACATATTAAGTGAAAGAATGCATGCTACTGTAAAAAAAGTGCTCTCCCTTTGGGTGTTAATAACACGTTCCAACTATCCAAGTGTGATGTCTATGTGCAACACCAAATCCTGGGGCATCACAAATTTCTGTCAGATAAGTATGCACACTCTAACGTGACATATACTGATGGCGTCCATGAAAATCTTGATCCACCTGTTGCCACAAAGAGGTGGATGGTGGGGGCAGCAGGAACAAAGCAGCTGTGCCCCGAAATTGCTTATTTCCTGTCATCCCACATAGCTGTAGTAAGGGAGACGGGCAGATCTGTGTTGACAGGGCAGCAGTTCACCACAGCACATTCTGACAGCGACCTTTCAGTGCTCAACACAGTCGCCTTTTCAAATGGAACTTGAAGTTGGTAAAAGGCCCAATCTCTCACTAATGCCATGATGAATCAGTGTCCACATTTAGGCCTTGCAGCTATGCAGACCATTATCCATCTGCACATAAAACATGAACTTCTATGGAACAGCGAGATCATCAACAGTGACTGGACTAAACCCTAAATGGGTTTGGTTTAAAAAAAAAAAAAAAAAACCCTACAAGTTAGTAACCAAACAGGCTAAAACTAGTTAATATATAGCAAAATAAAAACACTCCTAAAAACAGGAAAACACATGTTGGAGTTATACCTTATATACAGTTGTGTAGCAATGGACAGTTAAAGTGATGGGAATAGGGCTGTTCGATATAACGATATATATATCGGATGACGATATAAAAACGTCTATCGTTTCATTTTACGCTATTGTTTGTTTCGTGGTGTCGCAAAATAAACTGTTTACGGCAATATTTTTTCATCGTTTTGATGGTCACTGTATATTAATTTCTTAAAGTTCTCTCTTTCTCTTACATTTAATATAACCACACTACAGACGGACAAGCGCCGTTTTTAATGCGTTGTCGTTAGCAACAACGACGGTAACAGCATCGCGTGCCCGCTTGTTTATGTTCCACATAAACCTTTCACAATAAAGCTCAAGATCCTGTTGAGACTTTTCAAAATAATCGCGTGAAAGAGCAGATTATTTACGGATGAGAATTAAAAAAAAGAGCCGCCAGGTGCTAAAAAATAAACCTTAGACTCAAACGTTAGAACAGGCTTTTCCCCGCAGCACGCCGTGTAATAAATACTCACAAAGAAAACGGCGGCCTTTACAACTTATGTCTAAAAATGTATAGTTTCATGCATCGGTTAAAACACTCGACTCCAGCTACATGACGCGCAGCTGGAAACACTTCACGCAAGTCGAGCTGCCCGAGATTCACAGAATTTACAGAAAATGTTACATTTTTGTGATTCATATGGTTATCGGGACGATAAAATTCTTATATCGGGATATGAGATTTTGGTCATATTGCACAGCCCTAGATGGGAAGCATAAAGCCTGTACCCAGAAGGACTAGCATCTTAATTAAATCACAGTATAAATAAGACATGTACTCTACTAGGGTATTAATATTGAATCAATATTAATTGATAGGCTGAAAGATTAACTTTTATTTGGATCACTTAAGATTCTCCTTAATGATGTCAAACTAAAAGAGAAGAAGTTGAGAAGCACATACCTCCAGCAGAAGACACACTTGTTAGCACATGCGAGGCTGGGGGTAGTCTCCATGCACCGGTGGGACTCAATACCGTAGAAAGTGTGCTTGTAACAACCTCCCCTTCCTCTCAACATAGACTAAAATAAATAAATGAATTACAATTCATGCATTCAGTTTGTCAAAGCTGTAATAGAAATTTGAGATAATTTAAAGGAAGTGTTTTAACGGTTTATTTAAAAGGGTTGATTTCGTTACCTTAGTCCATCGACAAAGCTTCACTCCTGAGTGACTCCCAATCAGTTTATATCCTTCACAAAAAGGTAAAAACACAACGTGTTATAAATACGGCATCAAATCAGTGAAACACTTCACAATGCAGAACTGCACAAGTCAAATTAAGCTGAAAGAAACATGGACAATATACTTTTTATAGCTTTACTTCAGTAAAGCCTTTCAACATTCACAAAGTCTGATTCCCTTTTTGCACAAAAAGGTCTGTGAGGAAAGTGTTTCAAATGCCCTTGAGGTGGGCCTCTCTATCCCTTTTAACACCATGGCCTCAAACCACTATGAACAGCCGGATGTGGATTTCTCCTCATTCTCCCTCATTAAAAAAAAAATAGAAAAGAAAAAAAAAACCCGTCCCGCTCTGTAATATCTGTCAGATGGAATCCTTTTATCCTCATGACTTGACGCATTCATGAAATCCCAGGAAAAAACACAAACAAACAAAAAAAACGTGATAGATTAAAGAAGAAGGGCTGCCTTTCCTTTTCAAAATCATTTAAAATACCCTTCTAGTAAGTACACCAGTACAAAGCCACACAAAGAATGTAGGCAGCAAGTTTAAAAAACAAAGCCTCCTATTTTGGAAGCTTGTGTGTGTTGTAGCTGCTATTAAAACCTTCATGAAATATCTAAAACACAAAAACACAGCAGGACATCTGTACCGGGGTGTGTTTGTGCTCGAACTGCTCCCACAGATCTCAGGTTTGATGCAAGATTAGTCAAATACAAAATGTTCCTCATCGAGGCTGTTTGTGGGTATATTTGCAGGAAAGGCTGAATGAATGAAATACACTTTTTTGATTTTTTACACTTCAATGTAACAGCTTACCACTGAATCATCTTTTCACAAGTAACAAAAAAAACTGAGTGCAGGTCTACAAGACTCTGGACAACACAGTAGTGAATTGGACCTGCTATTAGTGACTTTAACAAGAACAATGATTATCTTTGTGTTTGTGTGTCTCCATGCACTGTATATAAAAGATGGACATGTCTTCTGAATATGAAAAATGAAGTGATGCCATGTGTGCAGCGTCTCTCAGTTCTTCCAGTGAGAGCCTCCCCTCGCCATCACGTCAGGTTTAAAACACAAGATGACGACGCTGAATATGCTCAATTCACATTAGACTTCACAAACCAACAGTTGATGTCACTGAGAATGTGTCCGTCTTTTTAATACACTCTATGATAACTGCACCATTTCAGAGAAACAGCATAGGAGAATATGAAAATTATAAAAACAGTTTACACTCATGTGATACTCTGTCTTTCACCCTTGAGCTGCTTGAGGGGAATGAAAGGAGCAGGGAGACAATGGCCTAACTGGTCTTCCACCAAGTAATGAAAGAGACGACTGCCAATTTACATATTAGAGTGACAATTTAAGCACAAAGATACCACAGATATCACCCCCACAACAGGTTTCACACTCTTGACTTTGTGCTTTTCTTGTCTGAACCAAACAGGAAAGCTTTACCTGGTGTGTGGCACAAAGAAGAAGCCAAACTCTGTGTGTTGCACACTACCGGAACTGACTGAAAGTGACATTGGTAAGCCACTTTAATAATTAATAATAATTTACTAATTAACCTCTACCTTCTAGTTATGACTTTCCCTGTCACTATTTTCTTGAAATAGGTTTCTCTTGAACCTCGCTGATGGAAAACTATTTTGCACACTGTGCAGCACTGTGTTAAAACTTTTTTGGACAATGCACAAGAGCAGTATGTGACACTGGCATCCAATCCATGCCAGGAAAAGACTATACAGGAAACGTATCCTTCCAAGGCTGAAAACCATGAAGACAATGCCAAAACTTTCATCCTTCCTTCTAAATAAAACAAACTGCCCCCCAGGACTAATTGTTGCCAACATAAACACCATGAAATAGGTCAACATTTGGTCAAATGAAGTGAAGTCCTGTGTTCAGTGTCCTATTTATAGAGTGTTGTGTAAGCTAACTGTGGGGGGTATTGGCTGAAAATGACTGCTGGCTTGTGTTTTAATAGTGGGATAGTAGAAGAGTAGAATAGTAAAATCCAGACCTAATGAGTAAAAAAAAAAAAAATCAGCACATGGTGCACAGTGGAAAAAAATAGCAACAATATAAATAGTGATGGATTCACAGACCTTTCAAACAGAATATTTTGATGTTATTTCTACTAGATAATGTTAAACCTTAATACAACAGTCCAATTTTCAAATAGCCTCAGTTAAAACAGACACTAGTTATACATTCATATTATTATTTAGACATTAAGTTAACATTAGATTAACATTTTAAGCTAATCTTTAGTCCTGAACTTACTATCTTAAACAAGCAAGAACTGAAATGCACTGCACCCACCCACAGTTTCCATGTTGAACCTTTAAATAACAGCTCATCAGCAAGGTTAAAACGTAATGAAATTTCAGCAACTGATTAACCCAAATATACTCCAATGGTTTCAACTAATTTCTTCTTTCTGCATAGTACGCCAGAGCACTGAAAGCCATTAAATACTTAATGAATTGCAAAAATACATCTTTAACCATATGAGTTACATTAAATTGTTATGCAAATACCTTTTAGTACCACATAAATTAAAAAAAAATGTCATAACTAACAATCTATGTTTAAAGTGAAAAAAACTTTGCTGCCCTCTGTGGAAAGATGAAGGTTAAACATATGCTGAGAGCAGCTGGTGCACTCTGTCTGTAATGAGATTTCTTTGGTTTACAATGCAAAGCAATGCAGCTAGATAACATGCATATATTATTCGCAGTCACAAGTGACACCCACCAGATGTTCCTTTAGAAAGCGATATATAATTTTACAAATACACCTTGAAGAACCATAAAACTCTACCACTGACTGAGTCAGTAAGCTATCAGTGCTGGTAACTTGGCAGTTTTGGTTTCTAATTTGCTTTTGTGACCTCTTTTGCTAATCCTCAATTTTTTTTCTGAATCCTCTTTCCTCACCTTGCTTTGTCAGTGCTTCTCTGAGGGCAGGGGTGATCATCTCCCTTCTTTCCCCTTCGTCTTCAATCTTCTGCACTCCGTTTAATTTGGATAGCTTCACCATCTGGCCGTCTCTTTGACTCTCCTCTTTGCTCTGAGGCAGAAACAAAACTTTCAGTCTATTATGGTCTACAGCCATATAAACATTTATATCTATACTAGGTAACAAAAGGAAACAGCTGGAGAGACATTTTGCAACTAATCAGGTTAACCGGCAACAAGTCCGTAACATCACCGAGTACAAAAAGAGCATCTTAGCGAGACGGGGTTTCTCAGAAGTAAAGATGGGCACAGGTTCTGCAAAAAAGGGGATCTAGATCTGCAAAAGATGACAATGTTTATTAATATTAAATTGTGAAAACTGAATGCAATGCTGTAGATGAGCCATCATCAAAAGATTCAGAGAAAAAGACATAATTAAATGATGTCTTATTTATAGTATTTGAAAAAGTTTTTCTGTTATGTTCTGTTGTGTGTGTAAAGAACAAAGTAAAGGCCACATAAATTGAGCATTTTGTTGTAAAGATGATCACGTCAATCCAGCTATGTATATATGTATATATATTTGTTTTGACAAGCAGAATAAATACATTAAGGAATCATTTACACACTTGCAAAAAACCATAAAGACATTACAAATCCAACATTTCCTCTTCAACCTGCCTATTAATTGCATCTATCATTACAATACATATGTATGTGGTCCATATTTAGAAACTGCGAGCGAAAAATACTTTGGCGTCTTTTCATTTTCCCTGCTTTGCGAAAATTAATAAGTTGTTTTTTTTTTTGCTTTCAAATGACCATCACAGGCTGCTTAAAAAGATGGACACTGCTGCAGACATCAACTGTTGTCTAAGAAAGTTGACTTTTGAAAACATGTCCAGGATCCATTTGGAAAAGTGATGACCAACTTTTATACAGCTCTATGTATCACAACAGCTATTTTTTTTCTTTTTGCTGCATCATCATCAACATCTTATTTCATGCCAGGATTATAATACTGCAATGCAGTGATTTTGTGTATAATGCTAAATATCTTAGATATATTCTGTGGACAAATACAACAAGATTGATTAAATCCTGCAAGAAAACTTTGCCTGGGGACAGAGAAACAGGTGTTACTTTTCAGAAAGACGTGATGGATGACCAGCCTTTAACATTAACCATGGTAAATGACAGCTTCACCCAATTACTGCACCTTTGCCACTTCTTCAGTTTGTCTATAGGGATCTATATGTCACCCTGTCAGCACACCAGGGCCCTTTAGGTGCTAATACAGTGTCAGCAAATGCTGATAAATGTTCAACACACTTGTATTCTTCAAGAATGTAGATAGTTCACAGATTCCTTTGTAGCTCACCGTATGGTACTAACCCCCGTAGAACTGTGTGAAAAATACTTGTTTCGAGGAGAGTTAACATTGCACAAACCGTTACTGCAAATCAATGAGATTCTTATAGAGTCCATTTTAATCTTTCCTCTCTTATCTCTGGAGTCAGTAGTCTTGAGAACATTTGTACTCTCTCTTACTTGCAAATTTGCAAAAACTTTGATCCTGCAGTAGCAGATTTCTTGGTTAAATGGCTCCAAATAAATGAAAATATTGCGCTATACCCAGTGGAAATTTAATTAAGTCCAGTACTCACTCCCCTTTTAACCCATATATTTGCTTCTTGCAAGTGTAAAAGGAAAGATCATGCTCTTTAAATGCTAAATGTTTTACTCATTTACACCAGTTTGTCTCTAAATATGTCTGCTGCTTGGTGCTGAGCAGATAGAATACAGTGGGCTTCCACAGGATATAGCTAATTACTGCAGGCAAGTTTTCACCTCATGATAGTAAAACATCATTTGCATCAGGGCTAGAAATTATTGGTCAACTGCTATTTCCAATGTGGATTGTTACATGTGCTTCAGTGCACCAGCTTTTCTTTCTCAGTCATCCTGAGTAACCTGCTATCCAATTTATCTCCAGTGCTGACTGGCAGCAGAAGGCTCACCTGCACTCATATGACGCCTGAGAGTGGTTGTCAGGCTGATTCCTTCTCACGCTCCCTCACCTCCATCAGCACTTGCACTATTCCTCACATTGATTATAGGCTGAGTTGGGAATACCGGCATTCCAGATTTCAGGTTTGTTTTTTGTAGTCTAGTTTACTAACAGTCTAGTTTGGGTAGAAGCCTGAATATGACAGTCTATTGTGTCTGATTCATGATCTTCTTTCTCTTTTGTTTGGTGTTGTTGGTGCTACCATTTCCCTTATTCGGGTCTGTTCATTGGAAGTAATTATATTCCAGTATTAAAAGCTTGTGAAACTATGTTTTGAGCATCTTTGAGCAATAGATTTAGAAATTATAACATATTACCGTCCAACCCTCTTCTAGGCCTCGGTAGCTCCCAGCATGCACCTCCATGCCTTGGTGCTTCCCAGCCAAGTAGCTACCCCAGTATGTGACAGTAACACAAATTAACTGTTAGAGTCTGTGAGAATTTTGCTTCTGTTCTTTGTTTTAACGTAGTTGCAATTAATGTCCTTGGGTGTGGATAAGAAATTATGAGGTCTGTTCTTTGTGAAACTCTTCAGTAAGTTTCTTGTTGCAAGCCTAGAAAATATTTTAATAACTATCTGATCAACTGAAAAAGAAACAAGACAAAGTCAACTTTTCCACAGTCTGTGAGCAGTTGGTTAAATGATAATTGCCTCAATATTAATTCTGAATATAATTTTTGCCAGAATTGAGCAGCTGCTAATCCGTTTTAGTCTCCTAAAGCCTTTGTTAAAAAACAGAGAGCAAGCTTCTCTCTAAATATACTGCCAATTTTATTTATGAACCTATGCTTCAGGTGTTCACAGTCATCTGTGTAAAATAGCACTCTTTTAATTTAAAACTGGAAGAATGCAAGCCCTTGTAGCTATCTAGTAGCACTATTTGCTCTGTGCATTTCCTCAACAATCATAGCCCCAAATACAGAGGAGGTTTCTCACACCTGACAGCAGCAGTGGTCCCCTAGAGCTCAGTTTTGATAGTAGATGCTGTGAACAAGGAAGCCACGCTGCTTTGTCAGAATACTGTCACATTTCTTTCTTAGATGGAAAAAAGATGGTGCTTGATGATATTTTTACGCGTCATTTAGATCACTGCAAAATGTGTGGGTTGCATGTTTTACTCTGAGTGACTTAAAGCGATGATCTATTCTATTATAGGTGACGTTAAGCTATGATCTATTCCAGTAATAAAGACAGGAGTACAAAAACAACCATACACTGTAAATCAGGGCGAGCAACAGCCATCCAGTGGTTCAATCATCGTGTGAATGGGCCTCAAGTCATTCTTAAAGTTCACCAAAAATCTAAACTGGGAGTGAAAACATGTACAGCCTACAATTTAACACTCAAGATTGGATAAGACTAGTTTGCCACTCAGCCGGCCCAAATGTCCACCTTCACTTAATGCATCTGTGACTCGTACAGTTCTGATAGCATACACAGCACGTAGCCAACGGTGAAACAATCTGTCCCTACGGTGTTTTCATGCAGCCTTGAAAATTTATCTGGCCCTAGTCTCTGGATCCCACTGATTGGCTTTCAGCCTTGACACCCAGTCATGCTTGGGCCAATCTGGGCTAACAGAAATGGGACATCTCACAGCATCGTGTTGTGCACGGGAACCATGACACAACATGGTGCTGCTGCAGATGAATGATGCAATAATACTTCACTGATTGAGTAGCACATGTGAATAAGGGAAAAACATAAAAGTACGGGAGGCAAAAAAAGCCCAAACCATGAACAAGTAGAAAATAAGAAAGACAAACACTCTAAGCTGGCAAAATGAATTCAATATTTTAAAGCTTAACCTTATTATCCAAATATTTTAATATATGTGAATAAGAGAAGCTATTTGTTACCAGTGTTTGCTCCGGCTCCAAAAGAGGATTGCACACCAAGAAAATTAGTCTATAGGTGCACTACTCTCTATACTGTAAAACAATAAAATAACAGTATTTGCCATTATTTTGTGCTTATAACAAGTGTAGTCATATTGTAACAGATATGTTGATGAAACAGCATAAATTCTAAATTTCGAATATTTATTTTTTTCTACATTTCTGTTTCTAAAACAGTTAGCAGACATTAAAACTTAACAAAGAAATGTGAAGATTTGCAAAAAATCAAAATCAAAATAAATAATAATAACAATAATAATGATAAAAATAAAAATTCAAAAGGCCTGCAGATGAATCAAAACTCCCCTGCACCCCTAAGAGCTCAAAATTGTTGTTTTCAGTATGTAATCTGCCTGAGGACTTTTAACTAGGGTGCATTTTGCACACAGGAGGTTTAATAAAGCCAGTCCAGTCCAGAATCTGAACATGTTAATTTATGCCAATCAATGTTTCTGTAAAATATAGAATATACCTTAGTAGTAGTTATACTGGCATCTTATGTGTGCTTTTTTCCTTTGGCTAGTGAGCTGAAAACATAAAAACGGAGCCAAAATTGCTGCGTGCCAGCTCAGGTTAATGATGCGTTTTACACTAACTCCTAACTGGCAACAGTCCCACAACGTAAAATCGACCACTCTGGCAGAAATGGAAGACTCTTATGACAAAGTTTAGATGCCAATACTATAAACAATTGTACAAAATCAATTTAGGACAACAATGCAAAATGAATTTTGCAAGCACTTGCTAGAATGAAAATGGAACTACAGCCAAAGACTGATATAGATTAAGGCCACAGCCAATCACAGCCTGTCCATCACTGAAGGAAAAAAACAAAACATGTATTCATGAAATGTTTAGCAGTGATCAAGTCATCCTGATTCCATCTGGGATACAAGCCACATGGACACCAGTACAGACAAATCCTTCCAGTTTCAGTTTTTATCAGTCAATAAATGCAAACTTACAGTATATTTACTCTTACTGAGCACTCAAAGCTCATTTCACACTACAAGCCAAACTTACCAATTCACACAGTGTTTTATTAGTTTCAACTTATATTTGGTGTCTTTAAACACCTTTTACCTCCCATGCACACATTCATAGGTCAGTCGATGCATCATGTGTGGTTTAGTATCTTGCACAGGGGCACCTACATCAACTTAATGGCAAAAAAAAGAGAAAGACAGGTTGGGCGAGGTAACCTACTTATCCAAGCACGAGGTGATTTGTGCGTGAATTATTCAGCTACTGACACTACACCATAATTGTAAACTAAAAACGAACAGGAGACTGATGTTTATTTCAGTGTAATGGGGTAGAGAGCATTAAATGCCACAAGGAAACTTGTGAAATCAGCGTGGGATATAAAACCTGTAAAAAAAAAAAATGAATTGAAAAAAAAAAATCCTCCCTTTCATCATTGTAATGGTATTTGTAAATCTGGTCCTCTTACAGTATTACAGATGTCAAATTTAAAGAAAATGTAATGTTTTACTAAAAATCACCATAAAGAGCCAGAATTAAGCCTGAAGAGTGTAACAAGCCCCACAGATACAGCATTTTCTAGTCACAGTTTGATTACTCACAGAGTATTCAGCTTGGCTAAATACCTGCTGTCTCTTGACAATATTAATGCTCAAACTAATTACATCTTACACTGCTCGCTCTGTGTGAACAAATTATGCAAAAGCAACATAAATTTGTTACTACAGGAATCCAAGTCATCTCTGGCATCCACGTGTGATGGCACAAATCATCCCAGAGCAGTTACAATTAAATCTTACATGACAGGTTAGGAATAAAGATGACTGCCTTGGGTATCATAAACAAATAGTCTATGGGTATATCTTTGGGGAAAAGGATAACAGCAGCTTGATCATAAAAATTACATGAAAACACCTCATGAATTAAAAAAGAAAAAAAAAAAAAGAAGTCTGACTCTTCTTACTGTGGAGGGCATAACTGAAGAGTACTGATCAACCCAGGCTCCTCAAGTCATAAACTAATGTCTCTTTAACTTCCCAGCTGTGCTGTATAAACACATTTGTGCTGTCCTTACAACGTAGCCTGTCCTAACCTCCAAGAGCGTCTACACTGTAATATTACTGTCACACAGGAAGAGATGAGCCTGGGAGAGCATGGACAGCACAAAGCATTTTGCATTCAGTGCATTAAGTCTCCTATGAACCGCAGTCAAATGAAGCATAATATTCAGTAACCCAAAGGAGCACATACAGCGAAAATAATAATTTCACATCTATCAAAACACAACAGAATAAAATACTTGTGTGCGTCTTCAGGACAGGAGCTGCCTCCACACTAAAAGTTTTCTGGATGTAAAGTCGACCGAGACAGAAGTTTGTGTTTTGACTGTGACAACATTAGTAAATAATTCTGTGAATGTCTTTTTATGATGTAACGTTTCTGGTGAAAGAAGCTTAAAGTAGAGTGTGATCACTTCAAAATGTCAAATACTATAAAGTAACAGTAAATGCCTGGCACAGTAGTGCCGTGGTTAGCACCACGTATTAGAGCAAGAATGTTTAAGTTACCAATTAGTCGTCTGCCGCTATACCCAGGATGGAGGACCGATTTGCACATCAGGACTGCTACAGATCTTTACGACACTTTAAACACACAGCTCTGCTGTTAAAGCGATGAATGTATATTGTCTGCAAGTGACAGTCTATGGCTGTCTGTGTTTCTGTGTTAGCCCTGTGACGGACTGCTGATTTGTCCATCATTTACCTCAATTCTGGCCCAGTCCCCCTGTGACCCCTCACTTCAATTAATAAAATTGATGTATAGAAATGATACAGTCACAACAAATATCATTATCAATTTAAAATAACAATAATAATGATACTTTCAGTTGCTCCCTTTTTGACAAAGAGCTGCCACATCAAGTTGCCAAATCATGTTGGATTTGATTTGGCAATTTCTTATTTGAAGTTTTTTTTAGCATTTCAGCTGAAATTTCCCTTATTTAAAGTTTTTACACTGGATGCCCTTCCTGATGTAACCCCAAAGGACTTTGGTGTAGTGTGAATGGGCACAAGCGGTGAAACTGAAATTATAGTTAAAAGTTAAAAATCTATGCACTCATTCACATTTTCTAAAGTGGGCCTACACTATGGAAAATTCCTGTACTGATACTAATCTATCTTGTGTTGTTGTTGTGTATTATGAATTTCATCTTTATCTGCCAACAAGCAGACTGAAGTCCAAAAAGGCTCATTTCTGCAGTGCATCAGTGCTTCCTGAACTGAGTACAGAGGTTTTGAGGTAAATCATACTAACAAAAATGTCACGATGTACATAAAAAAAATAAGAGATTTATATCATTTGGCATTATTCATGATTAAAATCAATAAAAATGAACATCTGCAATTGAATGAAGTAATTTCTCTTTTCTTGAATTTCCAATTTCTTCCATTTTTTTGAATGAAACTAATGAGCAGCTTACACTAATCTGCTACATTCAAAGAGGTACATTACAGGGTACTCGTCTGTCCACTTTATATAAGCTGTCATAGATCTTTATAGGACAGCCTATAACAGCAGAGTGATAATGTCTCTTCTTTTTTGATTTTTTCCTTGAGTCACTCATCTCTCGCAAGTCTGTGGAGTGGGCGTCCTAACTATTACGCAAGCCTCCACTCCTCGTCTGTCGGGGTCTGGTGTCTATCAAACCATCTGCCATTTCTCCTTTAATGATACCACTCTTATCTCTTTACTGAACGCACTTACACTGGATGAAGGTGGTGGGAGCTTAATGCCACAGTGATGCCTGCTTGCAGACCTTGAAATGGAAATGCTGAAAATAGAGCTGCTGGATGATGACATTGGAGTGACAGTTTAAAATGACTCAAGAATAACAAAACTGCAGGTTTATGAGGGGAATTGCTAAGTACTGTATACACAACTCATATTTACAAGTACAAATACTAAGCTCTGCTTAGTTCTAAGGGTTTCTGCTGTCAATGTGTGAAATAACACGAGCATATGTATTGCAAAAAGTGGTGCTAACATGTTGGCGGAGGAAGCCTGACCTTTGCTTTCTTAACGCTGTTCATAATATTTCCCAGATCCTCCACGTCCAGCACCGTTTTTTTCTCATCTGGCAGACCGGACTCATCTTCATCACTGCTGGATTCCACTAGATCATCCTGGGGAAAAAATGAAAGAAGAAATAAAGCACAAAAAGTGGTTAAAAAACAAGGTCAAAATGGAAAGTCGGGGACACGGTGATAAAGATGAATGGCATGTAGTAAAGAAAGGCTCACATATGGTCCAATCCATAACAAATTAAAAAAAAAAAGAAGTTGTGATTGAGTGAGTGTGCTGATGTGGAACACATTTATTGAACATCGTTATGTCCTCCTGGGCTGCCTGATTAAATAAGAAAACTATGTACGCGTTTATGGCATTTCAGCAGATTTATCACGACACATGGCCGACATGTGCAGCAGGAGAATAAAATGCATGAGTGGTACAGCGGGTACATAAATCACCACGATGGTCCCCTCGCCACAGTTCTCAGCTCCTCTCGGTTCCGGCTGAATGTCACCTCTGCTGAGTGTTGCAGACAGAGGGGAGGAAGTCTCAGCTAGAGTTGGCTCTGAGGTCCCCGCTACCATGACAACTGATCATCTGTGTGTGCTGTGATGCATATGAAGGCTGTGTGCGCATGTGTGTACATAAAATGTCTTTTTGTACTTGTGAAATGTGTAATTTTAGAGAGCGGTGGGGGGAAAAAAAGTGCTATTTTCATATTTTCACATGATAGACCGGTGTTAAGTGAAATACAACAATTTTCATGCAGAACATTAAATAACGCCACGCTGCACCTGAAAGTGCACATCGCTGCTACTAAATAAGGACCTAATAAGCCAAGTATAACACTCCTGAGAAATTCAGGCGTCTGATCTGATTTTAATCACATTGTTGAAGGAGTGCAACATGAAGCCATTAGCCTGGCCAGTCTGTTTCAGACTCCTGCTTGGAGTTCTAAAGTGCCCGTGTGATGTCATATCACATTATCCTAACCCAAAGGACAATTCTCCAACTAGATGTAAGCTGGATGCTTTCTCTATCTTTCTTTCTCCAGTTCTCTTTACCTGCTTCATTTAGAGTCGGTGGGACAAGCCTGGAGTCAAATAGTGAGGAAATAATATTACAACGTTTGGTATCGTATCCACAAAGCTGTTCTGATGATAGTTAACATTTTTATGTGGGTGTTTTTACTTTTATTTGTAGGCTGTCTATAAAAGATGACAGAGGCACCCTGATGTCACCCATTAATTTGTGAACTCTTTTTTTTTTTTAAAGCATTTTGGGCGTCCATCATAGCCTTTTGGAGAGAGAGAGAGAGAGAGATCAATATCACTGAGACATCGAGGACAGTTGTGCCGCATGTACAGCAGTGGCTTATAAATCACATGCTAGGCCCACCCGAAAGCTTACCCTGGATTTATCCCCATTTCTTACTCTAAATGTAAACAGAATGATTTTCATGAAGTATTCAATAAGACGTGAATCACCTCTTGCTGGCCTTTAGAAACCACTTGGACATTTTTAAAAGCAGAACCCATGGCTATATTTCATATTCTGACTATAGTTTATAATCTCAGTCAGAAGCCAGAGAAATCAACATTTTTTCACTCAGAAGCTTGCTTTCACTATTATATAAAAATAGAGACACGCTACCAAAACTTGGACAACTGGTGTGGACCAATAAATATTTTTTCTGTCTGTCACACAGCAGGTAGATGTTTGCTGTAATATTTAAGAACAGCTGAATGAATGTTCAGAAACTAAATGGCTTATCAGCTAGTCATTTTAAGCACAAGGCCAGCCTTCACCCACAAAAGAACAGATTTGGTGATAATTAACATCGAGTATTCACAGCTTTGCCCATCAGCAGGGGCAAAAGGGGCGTTTGAACTACTGTTATAGATAATAATATTAAGATATACTATCTTAAAACAATCGCTCGGAGAGAATGACAGAAGCAAGAGGATGTCTCCTTTTCTCTGTCTGGGTGCTGGTTCCCTTCAAAAGTACAGGAAGAAACGTCCAATGGCAATTAAACACGGCTCCTAGAAAAGCTGCTAAACGTTGATACAAAGTTTCCAAGTTGGCAATAATGAAGCGAACTGATGCGTGATAATGACAGCTGGAAGTGAGAGGCGTGTCAGGCTGCCAAGCTGAGACGGTATAGGCTCAAACATATTTAAAAGCAAATATCTGGATCCCAAAAATGTGAATAATTGAATATTTTGATGAAGACTTTAATAAAAACAACTTTCCTGCCCTTACCTCAGAGCTGTTATTCTGTGGAGAGGCCTTCTTCTCTTCTTCCTGTCGCTCCTTCCTCTTGTTCTTACAGGAGCCCTCAGTCTTGCACTTCCCACTGCAGCTCTTTTTCTCGCCCTTTGCCAGAGTCTTTAAGCGGTTTAGGAACTTGACCTTCCAGGTCAGAAAGTCTGCCTGGATGCTGCCATTAAGACTCTTCACCACATTACAGTCGCCTTCTCCCCTGGTCATGATTCGTCTGCCACTCAGCATCCACAGCCACTTGTCCACATTTTTACACACCTGTATGAAAAAAGCAGGTTGAATTCTTAGTAATTACTGAAAGCACTGAAGTGATTCAGGCTTAATAAACTGCTGAGCTACAGCCTTGAAGCTTTAGACATCCTCTGAATAGCTGACTATTATCAACCAGTGTCATTCTTCTCATTTTGTGAAAACCTTTCATACCGTGTTGTAATGGCCAACATAGACAGAGTTTCCAAGGCCAAACACTGCATATCTGAGTCCTTTCAAGTAGGTCTTCCCATATCTGAAGTCAGTGGATGCCTCTTCGAGCCACTTGCAGAACCACTCAGCATTTTCTGTGGGCTGTCCATCAGTGTAAGTTGCCACAAGAAACACGCACACCGACTTACTGATGCACTAATGGGAGAGGAAAACACAGCATGTAGGAAAGAGTTAAACAGGAGGAAAAAAGCTTAGTGTTTCTTCATTCAAGACTTTTTTTTTGTCCAAATATGGAAACACTTGTCTGTGGGACTAACTAGGGACGAAATGCAGTGAGAGGTTGATACACTAACACTGGACACTAACTGGATGTACTGCTGACACATAATTATGTACCAGCTAGTCCTAATTAATTAAGCAATTACTAACGCCTGTGGCTACAAACTAAGCAGCAGCAGATGCAATAAAGAAGCCAGTTGAAGTGGTATCGGCATTCCTAGGTGTGTTCAGCATGTCCAAATGGAAGCAAACCCCAGGGCAGAACACCGTGAAGATGTTATTTTTCCCGACTGGCTTGGGAATATATCTGCATCTGGTGGAAGGGAAGTGCCAGAGAGAGAAGGAAGTCTGAGCAAGTCTGGTTAGACTGCTGCTGGAGAAGCAGTGGAAAATGGATGGTGGATGTTTTTTGTTACTGAACCAACAGTAGCTCAAATCCACAAATAATGCAGTCATCTATTTTCTTCCGTTTACGTAACTCAGGGTCACAGTTGGGGAGGAATCTATAAACAAGAGGCAGAGTACACCCTGGACAGGCAGATGGAAGCTGGAGTATCCAAAAAGGTTCATGGTACTCCAGGCACTCCGGCTTCCTCCCATCTCTCCAGGATGTACCCCGCTTCTCGCCCTATGACAGAAGGGACCGGTTCCAGCACAACCATAATTGTGTTATCTGGTGATGTGGTGCTGATTATACATAAATCATAAGCTAGCATATTTAAACTGAAGTAAAGTGCTTCATATGCAGTTTTGGCATTTTAGGCATTATATTATTACATTATTTTGTAATGATTGTGAAAGCATATGTTTGAAATGTTTGAAATAAAATGAACTGAACTGAAACAGGGTCAAATGTGCCAAACAAAAAGGTTCCTTCCTCTGATGCCTGACCAGTAAATCAGTCGCACTGAAGGAGAGATGTCTGCAGACACATTTCACGTAGAGCTTTTCTGTCACTGAAAACTGTATCACTGTCCCTTTGAATAAATAGTTATTTTCCTTTTTATGCTGTCAACCCGCCAACCAATCTCCTATTCATCTCGAAATGCAGCACAGAGGGACTGTGCTCACAAAAATAAAAAGACTGATGAAAACAATCCATCTTGCTGCAGATGAGCAGGAACATGTTTGCTCTCTGCACCGGCCGTTTGAAGGCTCAAGCAGAAATGAAGCTTAAGCTGAGCTGGCAGTAATAGAACTTGAGGCTTATCACGCCAGTGTTTGCTGCCAAGCTTTGAAAATAAGAGTAACGATTTTTATTTTCCTTTGATTAATTCTGTTCTAATCAGGTGTTCCCTGGAAGTACACACAGGCAGGTCTTATGAGCTCACAGTTACATTTTAGAGATTTAATTAGCACCCAACAGCTGCTTCTGAGCATCCTGTAAACAGCATTTAATTGCTTACAGAGTACCCATCTGACAGCTGCATTTATCTTTCATTTATTCTCTATGATGCCACAGGTAGGGGTGATAAAGAAAAGTTTGCCAGGTCTCCTTAGAGGATCTGTGGAACCAGCTCCCAGTTTGGATTTGGGGTGTAGACACCATCTTACTTTGCAGATTAGTCTTAAACTTTCCTTTTAGATAAACTATTAGACAAGTATTACTAAATAGTAGAATTAAATATTTGGGTTGGCCCATATGCCCTTGAACCACCCTCAGTTATGCTGCTAGTGGCTCTGGACCTCTTGTGTTTTGTTGTGCAACTAGCCTCTGGTCACTTTCCCTCCATATGCACTTACATATCAACACCTTCTCCCTCCAGCGGTGTCTATGGTTTCCAAGATGCACGGTCCCTGTCTGGCTTCACTGGTCCATCAACCAGCCAACTATGTCACTTGTGTGTTGTTTGTCATCTCTGTGCTAACCTTCTCTGTCTATACTTCCCCCATACTCCCCAACAGGACTTGGCAGACACCTAGCATTCCCCTGAGAAGTGTTTGCTCACAGGGTGAAACAGTACAGGGTCTCTACCTTACAGTATAAAGCAGTCTAATATGAAACTGAAAAGCATATTCTGCTTTGGTTGGCTTACCTCATCAGCAAGCTGATCATCTGGATCGTAGTCCTTCATGTCAATCACCTCGGCTGGTAAACCCAAAGACTTCACCTCCTCTGACAGCTCGTTCGCAAAGCCCTGAACATATGGAGAGTCTCAGATGGTGCTTTTAAGATGTCAGTAAAGACTAAATTACCACGTGCTGAGTACTTTTCAAAATACTATCGATTTAAATTTGAGTTGCGTTTAATGTGCTTGATTACATGTGTGTAAAATTTAGTGCTCAGAGTTTTTGACTCAGGAACTGGTTGATGAAATTTAGCTTAGCATTGCTGTATGCAACAGAAAGCTTTACTACCACTGTGCTTTGTGAGATGAGGAGTGCTACTGATGCATTAAAATGCAGTAACTTTACCACGCTAGAGCAAAAATATGCACAAGGGTAATGAATTGTTATTGCAGACTGTGAAAGTTACACATGACCCTTGATACAGAAACTGTTAATCAGTGTAGTGATTCAGGTTCTCAATGATCTGTAGAGTAATTATAATTACTAGTATTACTATTTTGTTTTATTTTTAAAAGGGTAAAGGGGTTTGCGTGTCAGTGGCACCCTGTGACAGGAGAGACAGGCTGGAAAACCAACAGGAGGTTTCTGATCAGTCGCTTTCTCTGTGTCTCATATTTTCTCTGCTCTCATCTGGTCACTTTAGATTTGCAGGAAATAACTTTTGTACCTTTGCAGTCCCGGTTTGTGAGCCATAGAAGATTTTGACTCCTGACACATGAACCTCCTTGGTCTCTCTGTCGTTCTTCTTTGCAGCTTTGTCAACTTTGTCGTTCTTCTCTTTGCTGGCATCTTTAGAAACGCTTTTCTGAAAGCAGATCAGTGCAGCGATAAATGGAGCCGTTTCCGGTCAAGACAGCGAGACCTCAAGAAGCACTGCAGAGACCGTTTAGAGACTAAAACACATACACAAATTAGAGTAAGGTATGAGTAAGTGCCTCACCTTCTTCAGTAAGAACCAGAGCCCAAAAACAAGCGCAGCAGCTGAGTACAGGTACAACCTGCTGTGCCATAACCACATGAAATAGCTCTCAGTGAGACTGCGGGCATCCTGAGAGACTGGAGGGAGAAAACACATCAAACTGAGTCCTCAGATCCTGAACTGCTTTGATGAAGAAAACAGCCACATCATATATGTTTCTGCCAAACCACCGCTGACCACATGCAACAACAAAACAGAATTAAATCCCAACCTGAAGCTACCTGCGAAAAATAAAAGTCGGGGGACTGGCGAGCAACGCATGCTAGCTAGTAATGCTACCCTCCTTTAGCCAAAACACAGCTTGAAGAGAGTTTTCAGTTGCTTTAAATATTTAAAATAAACTCACCTTTTGAATCCGACGCAGACACGCTGGAGGCCAAAAGCAATACAAATACGATAAAAGTTGGCATTGCTGCAAGTAACTACTTGCACACAGTCTTCAGCACCTGAAGCTCTGCGCAACCATATTCTTTGCCGATATGAATGCTGGGAAGTTGAGTTCGGATCGTCCAACGGCTTGAGTTTGTTTGCTTATGGACATTCAGACTTTTTAGAAAGCAGCTGAAGTTAAATTAAAAGATGAAATTCATCTTCTGGGATTTAATTTAGAATATTTTACTCATTCATACCTATATGCTTTATTTTGAAAGTCTATAGAGGAAGTGGTTCTATTACCCTATGTCTATTTTGATTTTCTTGTTGTTTCCAGAAGGATTTTTAATTTGTCATTTTTATTTTAATTCCTTTTAACATTTTGTAAACTGACGCCAGATGAGGAGACCCGGACATTAAAAATAAAATGAATGCAATGTCAATTGATATTGAACAAATAACTGCACTTATGCATTCTGGTGAGCTAGCTCGGTTACAAATACCCCTAGTCGTTTTTGTAGATCGCCCTCTTGTGGTCATATGCAGGAACTGCAAAAGACCGATTAAAATATGGTAACGTTCAAATTAATTACAACACCTAGGCTTGAGAAAAGCTGTGAGCTATTTTCTGGTAGTTGTGTTAACTTCCGTGATAATGTGACAACTATTATTAGGCGAAATCATTAACGTGCAGAGAAAAGTATGATAATGTAGGAAGAAAGAACTGCAGGTGGCTTTAAATTGAAACGGAATATTTTCTGCCCTCCAGTGGTCACAGCGGCGAACTGCACATAGAAATTCGTCAAACTTGCATTAATGCAGGCATGACAGCGGCATTAAGCACGTCCGATTATTCATTTCAAAATAAGACTTACACGTAGTTCAAAACGTTTTTAATACTTAACGCTGTCAATAACAATAAATAAGAATAGATTGTGCTGTCAGACAATTAAATATGATGTTATCTCATAACTCTGCAACCATTAATCTAACAGTGCCCAATTTATGTGGCGTTTTATTTCGAAAATAATAACAGTTTGAAAAGTTAAATTTTATAAATATGTATTTAATTATGCATCTATGTATTTATTTAATTTATTAAACGAATAACAACAAAGGAAACAAAACTGACTCGGAACTGATGTTCGAAGTCACAGTTTCATACCGAACAGCCATTTAGGATACACTCGAAGAATACGGGTGGTGTTGTGATAGCGTACGTTTCTTGTCAGCGGCGCTTGCTTCGCAACTGTTTGTGGTAATCGCAAATATGTCGATATTTACGCCAACGAATCAAATCCGGCTGACCAACGTAGCGGTGGTGAGGATGAAGAAAGGCGGGAAGCGATTTGAAATCGCCTGTTACAAGAACAAAGTTATGAGCTGGAGATCAGGAGCGTGAGTACCAGGAGATGTTAACGCCTCCTGTGCCTGACTGCTGTTTTACTTCGTTGTTGCTAGAGGAAACTTTGACAATTCATTTCTCTTCCACTTTAAATCCTCTCGATGGTCGTTACATGCTAAATCAGCCAAAAATGCTCCAACACGTCATGTTTTCATTACAGAGAGAAGGACCTGGACGAGGTTTTGCAGACGCACTCTGTTTTCGTCAATGTTTCCAAAGGCCAGGTGGCGAAGAAGGATGACTTAACCAAAGCTTTTGGGACTGACGACCTTACAGAAATCTGTAAACAGGTATAAAACATCCCCATACGTACACATTGTAAGCACAAGCCATGCCATTTACTGCATGTAGGCTTGGTTGTTTTGTTTTTTCTCCTGAAGATCTTGGCCAAAGGAGAGCTCCAGGTGTCAGACAAAGAGAGGCAGACTCAGCTGGAGACCATGTTCCGGGATATAGCTACTATTGTGGCAGAGAAGTGCGTCAACCCTGAAACCAAGAGGCCGTACACAGTCAGTCTGATTGAGCGGGCCATGAAGGACATCCACTACTCTGTCAAGCCCAACAAGAGCACAAAGCAGCAGGTGAGGAGGATACCATGTGTTTCCCTTTCTTGTGTTGTGTTAGTAAATGGGCTGGTTCTTATTTAGCATCTTTCTACTTTACCTGAGCACTCAAAGCCCTTTAAGCAGATATCTGGGGAGCTCAGAGTAGAGGTGCTGCTCGTTCATGTCAAAAGAGCCAGTTTAGATGGTTTGGTCATCTCAGGCCTGCTGGGCACCTCTATTTAGAGGTTTTCTGGGTATGTATGTATGTATGGAGACCCTGTGGGGGGATGCAGAACCTGCTGCAGAGCTTAAATTTCTTATCTGGCCTGAGAGCACCTCAGGATCTCCCAGGAGGAACTGGAGGCTTAACATGGAGCCAACAGCAACTTCAGATGGAAAATAGTGCACGAATGGGTGTATTTTCCTTTAAAGTCATTAAAAATCATGTTAAATATATTTTAAAAAAATTCTAATTCATCCATCCATTTTCTTTAAAACTGGTTATATATACGGGTCTTGAGAGAGGTGGCTGGCGTCTACTCCATAGCACTAGGG